AGGAGGGAGTTGACGATAGTAGACTTACACGTGCAAGATCAAGAAGGATCCCGTACGTGTTCAGGACTCTAGACGAGGGAGAAGAAAGACGGCTTCGTGCCGAACGTAGAGCCCGTGCTCTCGCAGCATCGAGAGAAGCAGCAAACCTTGCAGCTAGGGAGCAGGCTGCCGCAGCAGCCACGGCAACAGCAATGGCTACCGCAGCAGCAACCTCTGCTGCAACTACGGTTGCGTCCTCGTCAGGAACCCAGTTGGGAATGCCAACGGGGTCCCCGGGTATCTCCTCTTTACTAGGGTCTAGGCCGTCTACAAGTCAAATGACGGGCGTGTGCAGTTCAGCCCGTTGACTCCTCGCGAGAGGGAGCTCAGGGAGCTTCAACATGTCGAAAGGATCCGTGAAAGATTAGAGAGGGAACTGAAACAGGCTACCGACAGAGAAAAGGAGATCAAAAATAGAACAGCCAGGCTTGATACTCTAGAGACTGACAAGGCTGAGTTGGAGGGCTTGGACGATTCAGGAATGAACGAGCCCATGAAAGTGTTGAGGAACAACATGCTGTCGCTACATGCGCATGTGGACATCAGGTTGGACTTCATGCAGAACACTTTAGACCAGATCTTGGACGCTTTGATAAGGCCAGGATTCCGGCCACCAGCACAATCGCCGTTGCCGTTAACAGCGATGTCAGGTCCCTTTCCCTTACAAGCTGGCACACATCCAAGTGGTACGTCTGCAGCAGTCTCGCAGACTGTTGCGTCTTCTTCTTTGGGTCCAGTGGTGAATGCTACATCACCACAACAACCTGTTCAGCAATCTGGACAGCAGCAAGGTCAATGGTACCCCAAAACCCCAATGAAACCGCCTCTTGCCTTCTCAGGCGAGAGAAAGGACGAGGAACTCAACACATGGTTGAGGACGGTCCCGGTTTGGGTGAAGGCCCAAAGGACCTTGCCAGAGGATGAGGTGGTAACTGCGGCATCTTACCTAGAGGGTAAAGCAGCCAAGTGGCTAGATGGTGTAGTTGTGAAGGCCGGGTACCGGCGACGCATGGTGGATTGGGCTAAGTCTTTGACCTTAGACCAATTCMTGGAGATGGTAGAAGCTCGATGGCATAACCCACAGGAGGCTCAAAGGGCCACTGATGCCGTTAACAAACTTACCCAATGCAAGTTCAGGTCAGTTAGGGAGCTTATGACTACCGTGAAGGGCCTGATCCTCGTCCCGGGCATCAATTACAGTGACCAGTTCCTGTTAACAACTTTTGTTAGATGTCTTCCAGAGAACATCAGGAACTTACTGGCCAGTGAGGCACGCACCGAGTACCACTCGTTTGAGACATTGTCTAGGAAGGCCTTAGACTTAGAGGCAACATTAGACAATGCTCAACCCACCTCAGGGAACGACTCAAAGAAGAAGAAGAGTCCCCAGGAGTGGAAGAATAAGGGGGCGAAGTTGATGATGGTTGAGTCAGATGGGACCCAAACTGAAATCGACGAGCTCTCTGACCTGGTGGACTATTCAGAGTGTGACGGCGAGGAGGTAGCTGAGGGTAGCACCCTCGCCGCGGTAGTAAAGACTAAGGCAGGTGGCCGAGGTAAGGGCCAACTTAGGAGTCAAGGAAAGGCCGCCTCCAATCAGACCAAACAGGTTGAGTGGGCAAAGGCAGGTCTTGACCAGGACGCGTGGCGTGACCGCCGATCGCGTGGCGCTTGCATCACCTGCGGTGAATACGGACACACGCAGTGGAAGTGTCAGAACGCGAAGGTTACGCAAAACGTTGCACCAAAGGTTGGGGCAACTTATTCCCAGGCATCTAGCTTGGGAAACGCGTAGGGCCAGTGGAAGTAATAGCGGCTTCTACTCAAGATGAAGGGGGAATGATACCCTCCTCACTTCATGACAAGGCCGAAACTAATGACTCCTTAGCTACCCCGCAGACGTATCTAGACCAAACTATGCTCTGTACATTAGATGTGTCTGAGGCCTTAAAAGACTTAGAAGGCGAATGGTCAAACAAGGATCCTCGCGAGTCTTGGGTGGCGCTAAAGAAGGGTCCTAGAGGGGAACATTTCGTTGTGGAAGTGGATGTAGGAGGCCGCAAATGTGGTGCCTTCATAGACACAGGCTCCACGCGAAATTACATAAGTCGCGACTGTTTGGAAAGGCTGCACCTACAGGACCGGGTACGGCACCTTAGTAGACCAGTAGCATCTACTTTGGCCAACAAAGAGCGCATGATTGTCACAGACTACCTCATGGACGTAGTCTGTACCTTCTCCTATGGAGGAGGTGAGCTTAACCATCAGATCTCGTTCTTGGTTAGTAACGACTTGCCATTTGACATGTTGCTAGGCATGTACTACCTCGATATTGCTAAGCCCCAGTTTGACTGGGATAAGAAGGTGCTCAAACAAAAGTTGCCCGATGGCYRAASTGYCAGAATGACTAAGTTCAAGGCCAGTAGTATTATAGATACCTATGGCTGCTTGTGCGCATCTGCGTTCTACAATTACTATAAGCAAAACCAAGAGGAAGGTATGTACCTTCTTTATGTCTTTGAGAAGGGGGAGGCCGTTAAAACACCCCCGGAGATAGAACGTGTCGTTGCTAAGTTCCCTGATCTGTTCGAGGAGCCCACAGGAGTTGTTGATAGGGAAGTCGTCCACGCTATAGAAATCATTCCAGGGAGTAAGACCCCAAAGGGAAGGATCTATAGGATAGCCCCTGCCGAGTTAGATGAACTTCGGAAGCATCTAAAGGAGCTGACAGAGAAGGGATGGATTCGGCCTAGTACTTCCCCTTACGGATCACCTGTGCTATTTGTACCAAAGAAGGGGGGTACTTTGAGGATGTGCATTGATTATAGGGGCCTCAATGCCATCA